TCAGTCTATGAACAAATAATTTGGGAGGCTGGACTTTATGAGGAAGAATGTGACATCTGGATTGGAGAAGACTCACCAACAAACCGTTATGTAGATAACACAACCTTGCTTCCTGAAACTGAGGAGAATGTCAAGGACTGTAGTCTTCAATATAGATTGAAACTCAACATCAAGAAGACAAAGATTCTTACCACTGTGCTAACTGCAGCACCATGACAGATGGAGGAAAGATTGACATCATTAATAATTTCATCTTCCTTGGTTTTACAATTGACACCAGCAATCAGAAAATCAAAAGATAAATTTCACTAGGAAAATCTGAAGTCAGGGACCTCTCCAGAGTGTTGAGGAGCAATGATGTCAGTTTAGAGACTAAGGTATGCTTGATCCAGGTCATTATCTTCATAATATCTTCCTATGCTTCAGAGAACAGACAATGATTAAAGACAACAGAATAAGAATTGATGTCTTTGAGTTGTGATGCTAGACAGGATTAATGAACATACCATGAGCTGCCAAGAGAACTAACAGGTCTGTCCTGGAGAATGTGAAACCAAGTTACTTATTGTAGGCAAGTAGTTTGAGGCACCTGGCATGTTGTCAGAAGGGACTAGTCCTTGGAGAAGGACATTATGGTTGGAAGGCTGGAGGGACAGCACAGGATAGGAAGACCCCAGATGAAATGGATAGACATTGCAACTGGGATAATGAGGGTAGGTGTATTGGAAATACAGAAATTGGCTCAGGGCAGGGCAGCATTCAGAGCACTGTTCACAGGGTCACTAAGAGTCATAGTTGATTCAACAGCACATAAGAATAGCATCACTAATTAAAAATATATAAAAATTACAAGTACATGTTCACTTAACAAAAGCCTCAAAATACAAGAAAGTATTTGCAGAATTGGAGAAATAAGTAGCTCCTTGATAATAGTTAGAAACTTAAATCTACTGCTTATAGTAAGAGACAGAATATTTAGAGTATCTTCAATTAGGTATAGAGACTTTTTTTACATTTTTTATTATTAATTTTAATAAACATTTACAGAGGTTTTGGATTTCCATTCATTCATTGCCGCACTTTTCTCCCTGCCCACCCCTTCCCACCAGTTCACTCCCCTCTCCAAAAAGAAAAAGGGGAAAAATTCATTTAAAAAAAATAATAAACCAAACAGACCTAAAAATGTACACAAAACACTTCATTCAGCAATAACATCACACACAGTTTTCTCTGGTGCTCATACATCATTCTCCTGGAGATATTTTATGTTAGGCATTAAGAAGAAAAAAATTATAATTATGCTAATTGATTTCTGTGGGTTGCATACCTTTTTGGGTTTTTTACTTTTCATTCAAACATTGATACACATTTTATTTTAAAACATCAATGCAATATCCACAGGGAAAATACTTGTTCCACTTTCTTCCTACAATCCTCAGTGCCATTAATATTTTGTTCTCTATAGTGTTTTCAATGGTTGATTTTTTAAAATTATTATTAAATTTTATTAGTGTTAATGAACATTTACAGAGATTTTGGGTTTTCATTCATTTCTTGTTGCACTGTTTTCTCTACCCTCCTCCCCAGTTTGTTCTTCTTTCCCCTCCCTCGAATGTCTGTTTTAATTGTCCAATTGACACAGTGCTTGTCAAAGCCAGTTCTGATTAATCTCCTTTGTCAGTGTGTCCTTTGCCATTCCCTATCACTCCTCCC